GCACACTGAACATTAGGCGGCCTGAACTGCCGTGCAGGAGACTCGGGTTCGATTCTTGGTATGATTTCGGGAACAGGTAACTCAAGAAAAAAGTCAAATGTCAACTAAGTACTGCTGTTTGGAACGGAAACAAAGAGAACAGCTAATACAAGTAATAAACTACAAACATTCATTAACTGTGCCTGCATAACATATAAAGAATTAAAGTAAATGGTAAGATAGAATCACTAATGTTGAGTTTTGGGAGAGCACAAAACAAGTTATATTGGACCAAAAGGTAAAGAAAAGACACTGGCATTGGATAGGGCACAAGTTGAGAAAACACGATAACACTATAATTAGAATGTCTTTGCACTGGAAACCACAGGGTCATAGAAATAAGGGAAGACCACAAAAACAAAAATACGGAGAAGGGTGCTGGAGAGTGAAGTTAAAAAGATGAGGAGGACATGGGGTGAGCTGCATGCGATAGCGAAGGCTAAAAAACTTCGCCTGAGTTGGGCCTATGCTCTAGAATGGGTTAGAAGGTAGAAAAAGTTATTATAAAAAAAAACAATTATAATTACACTAAAACAAAATGTAATTCCTCGTATAACGGATTATTAGAAGTACATAAGCACTCACTTTCAAACTTGAAATGTACTCGAACCCCCCCTGGTTGGAGATCACTGATCTAAGCCTTAGCTGCAAACGCTGAATCGTGCTCTATGTATAGTTACATTTCTAAACAAAAGTAATAATACAAAGTATAGTAAAAATAGTAATGCTCGGAACCGGATATTTTTGTGAAAATTGCTACTACTACTTGTGAAAAATGCAAACAACAACAGTTCTAGTGACTCACCTGGGAAGGTTGAGTCTAGATACGATTTTACTCACCTTGCTAAGTCCGTGAAGTTTCTATTTACAGCTCCTGTTAGGAAGCCATGTTTCACGAACTTAGACAGCGTACCCGTATGTGATGTGGGTTTCTTGATTGGCGGTGGTGAGCAATATTTATTAGTCTGTCATGTTACGTAAAGGGAATTTATCGGGCCCTGAAGGAAGGCTATATTTGTATATGTACTGGGGGCAGTTGGCCGAGTGATTACAACCCTGCGGTCTCAAGCGCGGACTCAAGTTCGAGTCCTCGGCAGGATGATATATCTTTGTTTTTTCAGTAGGTGGCAAAATATACATCATAATCTGCACGGTGGAAATCGCCGTGGTGTAGCGGCTAGTGGCTCGCCTGTGGATAGAAAGGGCGTGGATTCGGGTCCTGATGGAGCCGAGCTTTCTTCAAAAATGACGTTGACTCTCAGGTAGATCCAGCCTTGAGTGGGTACAAAGTTAAATCATGGGTAGACAACAGACAGAGGACTGGAATGGAACAAAGTCAGAAAGAAAACTGCTGATAGAGACGTCTGGCGATCTCTCTGACAAACCTCTACAAGGTAGACGAAGAGCCACTAAGTAAATACCGCACAGTTCGTGTTGACTGAACTAATTAGGCGGTCCAAAATCCTCAGGATGACGAAACCCCCCCCCCCCCCCCTGACTTAGCAAAGACAGTGATCAATGTAACAGTAACATAAGGGTTATGATTGTAGCTTTAAAATTCTGCGTTGTTGGGAATGAGACAAGAGTGCCAGAGCAACTAACAGACGTGTGTGTAGTTCTAATTTCACGATTGCAGTCTTTACGGAGATTCCCGGAGCTACGGAACCATGATCTAGATGCTTCACATGTTCCTACACATCTTACAATGGCCAACATCCGCTACTTTGCGACCACGCCTCCATGACACGACAAAACGCTGTCAAGAATCTTCTCTCGTTGTCTTCCTAACGTACATACAGCCTTCCGGGTACCTGTAATGGGGGTTAAACGAGCTATTTGGAATCTGTGTTGTTGGTCTGTCGTCTAGACTGAAACTGTTAATCTCGGGTTTTATGGTAAGCCTTTAGGGGGGTAGTTAACATAACAATTATCGGTGATTTATTAATACCCCAAACAGGGGAAATCTACAAATCATTCTACGGGACAGCCTAATATATCAGGGGGGTGGCAGATAGGCTGCATGCATTCGTGGTACCTAGGCTGCACTCTCTCGTAGGACCTAGGCTGCACTCTCTCGTGGGACCTAGGCTGCACTCTTTCGTAGGACCTAGGCTGCACTCTCTCGTGGGACCTAGGCCGCACTCTCTCGTAGGACCTAGGCTACACTCTTTCGTGGGACCTAGGCCGCCCTCTCTCGTGGGACCTAGGCTGCACTCTCTCGTGGGACGTAGCTCGGTTGAGGCTAGGGCCAGTTCTAGATGTTTAATGCTCGTTAAAAGCACCAGAAAGCCGGGAAACCCAGTCTTACCACCCTCTAAAATGTCACTGTCCTGTGACGTCATATGGGGGTAGAATATTAATACAGAACCAAATGATCTATGCATTGGTACAAATAATCTGAGAAAACCGTTACAAAATGAATAGTGGGATAACTTCAAGGATAAATGTCAACATTTAAGATGGAGACACGCCATTATAAATGTTCCGATATATTCAGTAATATTGTTGTTTTTCTAACCACCTTGAAAAAAAATTAACGAAAAAGCCTTAGATATCGGGGGAAAAACAGAAAAAGATATGATTCACACAGCCAACCTTACATCTGTTTGTTTGTTTACACGATTCATTGCGAGACTGCAATAGCCGCACTATGCATTTCTACAAGATCGTGTTTCTCACGCGCCTTGAAGACAGTGTTGCCTTGTATAGGCTAACTTTTGATGCAATCCTGCGACTCCACTAGCAGACTCGTTAAAGCGCCTGTCGCAGGAGTGTCGAAACCTGGACTTCGGCCAACTTGAGCACCCAACCCCTATCTATTGTTTGTGGGGCTGAGCTGAAAACTTTCGAGGAGTCAACCCCATATTTATAAAGAGAAGTTCTACTACCAAACCAACTGCAGCTGATTCCACCCGAATATTTCCTAATTACAAACTTCGTTCGTAACTCCTAAGCCAGGGACTTTTAAGCATGACGCTCTCAAAGGGGACTGATGATGGTGAGTGTCCTGATATCGCAGCGTACTAGGGTTGAACAAGGTTCCTGGAATTTCCTCCTGATGGATTCTCATCTTCCAGGTGTTTATCCAATGGATAGCAATCCAGGAAGGGAACAACAACGATCCGATCATACATGAACGCCGCGGATAGGTCACAGCAAGGGAAACTATTCTGTTTGATTAATCCAGTCAAAAGACAATTTAGGTTACCCCAGCACAGTCGTTGGCAAAAGCAATCTAGTTGAAAGAGCCAAATAGTAGCAGTAGCAGGACGATTAAAATTTTTTCGAGAACCAATTTTTTTTTCAAGAACCATGTTTGACTTGCCAAGCCAGTTCTTTTTAGTTGAACAACAGTGGCGGCTGCTCGAAAGAATTCAGAAGACTTGCATTAGCAACTCGGATATTAAACAGCATGAAGAACCTATGGCAAAGCACTAGAGTGAATTGTTAAAGTAATACTGGATATCATGCATTTTTGCTGTGACAACTCACGGTTGTGAGTCCTGGACTCTCAGCAATTGAGAAAGACTTAAGCTTTTGAATCTAAATGTTAAAGAAAAATTCTTAGAATACCATGGATCAAGAAGAAAAAAAACATTCTGAATGAGTAGAACATAGAGAATTGGCTAACAAACAGCGTCCTGTCCGGAAAGTTTATTTTGGCCACATCAAGCGTCATCGGAGGTTAAAAAAGACTGCGATATAGGCTTGGAAAGCACACTGGGCCCAAGAGCTGGCTAGGGAAAGGAATACTTATCAGGAATTCCGTGAAGAGAGTGACTGATAATGGTACGATCACCAGCCTTTTTTTCGTTGCTACCTTAATTCCTAGTCTCTGTCGACCCCTGTGGATTCACAGGATGAGAATTGCTGGGAGTCAGAACCGTAAGTATGGTAATGGACGTGTGCCGACAGTAAGCTTTCATTGTGAGGAAAATTCAGAACATAACTGGTGGCGTACCCAGCATAAAAGGGTTAATACAAACCAGTGGAAATATCCAATTGGTCTAGAACAGATAATAGCTTACCCATAGACGCTTGGTAGCTAATTAGTGATGCGAGTCTAGACATTCTTAGAACTGCTGTTGATATTCCCACTTATATATGGGAACTAATTGACCCGAACCTCTACGCTGTACGACTATTTCCTCTTGATGGATTTTTTAGCATACTAGTGTGGACAACGATGATTAACATGAAATGGTGACAATTTTAGTGCCTTTAATTTAATTCTCATATTAGCCTTTTTACCAGGCCCGAGTAAGATAGGATGCTTGATTAGTTTACTGGTGGTAGCCGCTCCGCCCGGTCGTTTCCCCACAAACACCTTTTCAGCAAGGAGTTTTCTAACCAACTAGTCTAAATTTCCATCTATGACATACTTTTCACCATTGGTGAAATGCTTCTTGTGGGTTCTCCGTGACTTGGGACATCCTGAGCCAGCCATTTGTAGTAGTGGAATTCTTCGTCCATGCACAATATAAATATGCAATATGACCTGTGTATACAATACCCATGCCCCAAGCATGAGACCCCATATAGGCTGTTTTTCCTCTGCACCAGTCCATAAATTTCAGTTCACACAAATTACCATAACAGACATGCACAAACAAAACCATGACTTAGTCCAAGGAAATTTTAATTTACACTTAAAAATGCTCTTACAAATGCAGTCAAAAGTAATTTGCAAAGCTCTTACACAATACAGTGACTAGTTAATTTAACATTGAAGGTTTTTTTCTTCTGACTTCTTTTCTGTGCAATTTGGACTGCAATAGCCACCGAGACCATGAAATTAAAATTAGCTGAGTCAGTTTCTTGATGGGTAATAAACTAAAATAGGGGGAAAGTACAGATGTGATCCCTTCACATCTGGGCTGTTGGCAGTTTTGAGTCTGACCGCATGATTTAGCTAAGTACTGGTCAAGCCCTGATGCCAGCAACGAGGATTTCTCTAACTTTCACTTCTTCTTGATGGCAGCTTTTGTGACTTTTCCTGCGCTGATATCCTCCTTGGTGACAGATTTGATAACACCGACAGCCACTGTCTGTTTCATGTCACGCACAGCAAAACGTCCCAGAGGGGGGTACTCCTGGAAAGCCTCCACGCACATGGGCTTGCTAGGAACCAGTTCAACCATGGCGGCATCACCAGACTTGACAAACTTGGGGTTGTCTTCTAGCTTCTTGCCAGAACGGCGATCACATTTCTCCTTGATCTCAGCAAACTTGCAGGCAATGTGAGCAGTGTGACAATCCAGCACTGGCGCGTAGCCATTCTTGATCTCACCAGGATGGTTCAGGATGATAACCTGCAATTATAAAATTCCCATAGTAAAAGCCTATATTACACAATCTGGCTTCATAATACAACTTAAAAAAATTACCTAAAGAAAATGAGTCTCAGCCCTAAAGATATGCAAGGGCTACAGTACCTGCATAAATCAGCAGGTTATCTTGGAGGGAACAGGGTGACGACTTTGCGTTCACCGGCTGTACACTCTGGCGGAAAGTTCTGGTTGCTAATCCATTACTGAACTGCAGTCCTGCTCCAGAACCTGACTTGTGCATAAGTTTTACAGACCACATTCTCTTGAATACAGACTGTTGGTTCCTTGCTTCTCCGATTCAAAGGAAGCTCCCCAAATAGTCGACTCTTACGACATGCTTTTGGGGAGGCAGTGGATCTATTTCTTTTTTCCATACAATGGGGCCCCGGAACCCACAGTATTTACATTTAACGAATTACCTTTCTAGCACACAGGTGTAACAAGTACTGTTTTATATTAAGTGAAACCTTGCCCTGGTAGCACTGTTTTTTAATTTTTAAATATTAAGGTTTTTCAGGTTATCACACACTTGGCATTCAGTATTACTACCATAGAAAATCCCTAATCTGTAGTGCAGTTTAACCAAGGACTTCCAGCACTTGACAGGGGATTGACTTGCCCAGAGACCACTCTGCCCCCCCCCCTTAAATACAATGAATGGGGTAAGGGGGAGAACGGTTCAATCAAAAAAATACCAGGCCTTAATTTACAACCCAAAATTTATCTTAGGTAGCTCCTGGAGCAGTGTTGCAAATCCTGATTTATCCATACAAGTGAAGTGAAAAGCTGAAAAGATCGGGCACTTCCTATGTCCAGTCCCCACTAATAAAACGGATTTTTTTTAAAAGCATTCTTTTGAATATCATACGGTGGTGATTCTCGGTAGTGAAAATTTTAAAAAATGCAAAAGACTTGTATACCTGAGCATAGAAAGACTTGGTGGCCTTGGGTGGATCGTTCTTGCTGTCACCAGCCACGTTGCCTCGACGGATGTCCTTGACAGAAACGTTCTTGACGTTGAATCCTACGTTGTCCCCTGGGCCAGCTTCAGGGAGAGCCTCATGATGCATCTCAACTGATTTAACCTGGAGATAAGATACACATACAATCAAGTCCTCATGCCTGTCCTTTTCCTGTCACTTTCTTCTGTCAAGTGAGGCCCGCAGAACCCACACATTGTCCACTGCATGGCTTATCTCCTCGGTCATGGTTGCATAGCAACTACGAGAAGTTTATGGAATATGCAGGGGTGGGCCCTTCATCTGACAAAGAACCGCCAGGAGGACCCATTTCTGTACAACGTTGTGGAAGAGGACCAGACCTCAAGTCCCCCGGAGGGGACATTCGGCTCCTGCACGCCACACAGACAACAAATGATCTGCCAAAAAGCATCACAAATGTGTCAACGTTCAGCTTTGCAAGGTCAATCATCAAATACTTTCAGCTTTTACAACTAAAGATGCCGTCTGGAGGTGACAGGTTCAATTCCCGACACGGTAACTATAGCTTTCGATTTTTATGTTGTCTAGTGTGTTCTATCTTTCTACTTCTTTCTATGAGTGCCGTTCACAATACTTTCTGTTACTTGATTAATTCATAATATTTAACGGCCTCAAATGGTTTCCCCCATCTATTTTTAGAACTAAAGACCAGTAGTGTTCTTGTATAAATGAAACTTAAAATAATGACCTTCAAGCGTGTCTGTAGAACATTATAACCAGTTCAACTGCGATTCCCAAAAAATTTTAACCAATGACTAGCAGCAGTGCAAATGTGTCAAGTTGCACTTACAGTGAAACCAACACAGAAAAAACAGTGGATTATTTATAATGGACTTGTAAAGAGAAAAGTTCCCAGTTTCACATTTAAAATGTGATTTAGTACGCTAGTAAGCTTTTGCAGAATGACAAATACATTACCATTTGATTTAACAAATGTTATAGTAGCCTCTAGATGGTTATGTTAAAGTTTCCTGTTATTTAGGTAAACCTAGCCGACAGTTTTCTACTAAAGTGAGCGAAAATGTCCACTGCATGGCTTATCTCCTCAGTCATGGTTGCATAGCAACTATGAGAAGTTTATGGAATATGCAGGGGTAGGCCCAACATCTGACAAAGAACCGTCAGGAGGACCCATTTCTGTACAACGTTGTGGAAGAGGACCAAACCTCAAGTCCCCCGGAGGGGACATTCGGCTCCTGCACGCCACACAGACAGCAAATGTTCTGCCAAAAGGCATCACAATTGTGTCAACGTTGAGTCTTAAGTAACGAGCTGAAAAGACAATGTAAAATCAGACTCACCTCAGTGGTGACGTTGGCAGGAGCAAAGGTCACCAGCATGCCTGGCTTCAGGACTCCAGTCTCCACTCGGCCGACGGGCACAGTTCCGATACCACCGATCTTGTAGACATCCTGCAGGGGCAGACGCAGGGGCTTGTCTGTTGGGCGGCTAGGGGGCAGGATAGCATCTAGAGCTTCAATCAAAGTCTTGCCAGAGGCGTTACCTTCTTTCCTCTCAATAGCCCAGCACTGAAAAAATGATTTTAAAATTTGACACGATTCTGATTTAACATAATTTACACACAAAAAAATGGGTTTCATTTTTTATAATACAAACTAGAAATTTCAGTGCGTAGTGTACGTGTATAATTCTAGGCTCATTCTGAGGATCCCTTGCCATAAACGTGAAAGTACACATGTAAAAGTCAAAACCTGATAAAACTGCCCTAATACACGTGCAAAAGTCAAAACCTGATAAAACTGCCCTAAATACACGTGCACACCACCCACCCCTGTCACAGCAAAGATGGTAAACACAGCAAATGGTCACTAATATGCACCACCACTTCCAGAGCCGCCCAGCTGAATATAGGATACACAAACAGCTCAGGTGGGTTACAAGATTTCACACTTCATACAACAGTTACAAGATTTCACACTTCATACAACAGTTACAAGATTTCACACTTCATACAACAGTTACAAGATTTCACACTACACACAACAGGTAACCTCACCTTGAACCAGGGCATGTTGCTAGATTCCTCCAGCATGTTGTCTCCAACCCAACCAGAGATGGGCACGAATGGGACAGAAGCGGGGTTGTAGCCAATCTTCTTGATGTAGGTGGAGACTTCTTTCATAATTTCAGTGTATCGGCTCTGCAGACATAAGATCAATTGTTAGACTTCAAAACCAAACAATGACATTCTACTGTGTATCTTATGTTGCTGCGGAGATAGATTTCATAAGATTTGAGTATCTGCTGCCCGTCTCACATTGCTGTTGGTATCCACGTCCCATTTGCAGGCCTGATAGGTTATGAAACTCACAATTTACTGGATGTACATTTGTTTATTGCCACATACCAGTCCTTTCTCCTGACTGTTCCCAAGCTGACTAATACAAATAGATAACATAATTACCTCGCTGTATGGTGGTGATGTGCTGTCCATCTTGTTGACGGCAATGATCATCTGCTTGACTCCCAGGGTGTAAGCTAGAAGGGCGTGCTCACGAGTCTGGCCTTCCTTAGAGATACCAGCCTCAAACTCACCAGTACCGGCAGCAACAACCAACACAGCACAATCAGCCTGCAGACACAGCAACAAAACTATACAATTACTGCAATCAACATCACCTAACTGAACATTATGTCATTTTTCGCTCTTCTTATTTAGAGTTAAATTTCTAATCCTTCCGGTCTGTTGTCTCATACCAACAAATGGTTCTAATCTGCAGTCTCGTAACCTTTTCAGTTGCTTTAAGTTTTTTCTTCACCACAAATCAACCAACAAAGGGTGGAAAGTAATGTGATCATCCAACTGATCAAATTGTAGGTGTCTAATCCAGACATGGCTTATAGTAATAAGTGTCATCTTTTTTACAATATGAAATATGAGCAGTCTATTATGTCAGGCATCCATGCCAATCTGTGCTAAAGCAAACTTCTTGATCTGTCTTCTTGCAGACTCAGCAGGTGATGTGCATTTCAACTTTTACGCTGTCAATTTTTTCAAAACTGATAACCGCAATTATAACCTTGGTAGGTGGAACCTAGTAATAAAGTCCAGTAAATTTAAAAAATATAATGTGGTTGGTCTAGTACTGACCCCACACCACTTTCACACCCCATACAAACTACAACAAACCACGCACCAACAGACAAGACAAATCTCACCTGTGAGGTGCCAGTGATCATGTTTTTGATGAAATCCCTGTGACCTGGGGCGTCAATGATGGTCACGTAGAACTTCTGAGTCTGGAACTTCCAGAGAGCGATATCGATGGTGATACCACGTTCTCTCTCAGCCTTCAGTTTGTCCAACACCCAGGCGTACTTGAAGGAACCCTTACCCATCTGGTAGAACACACAAACACAGACCATTAGAAGCAAGCCAGTGGGTTTACACCAGAAGACTAGCATAGGATGATCAATTACTTGTATACACCGCACTGCTCAGACAGTTTTGTCAGTGCACTTAAAAATTATATTTTAGATTGACATCCTTAAACCTGTATACGTCCACACAGCAGGTGTCAAATCAGAAAAATCCCTCGGATGTTTCAGCCCATTACCTCCTAGACAATCTCAAAAAGTGGGCCAGGTCAACCTGGGTCATGACTCCAGGCCATAATCTGCTGCTGCATTTAATCGCCCAGATTTCCAGAAAAGCTCAGTTTCCTTGAGTCAGCTGTATAAAAAAAATACAGATTTGAACAACCCATATATCAACTATCCAGCCACACAGTATACCAGTTCAGGCACTGATGATTATGCTGGCTCACATCTCAGCCATGCAGTCATCTCATAGCCTTCTAATGACCAATCCACCACAAAACATTGAATCCTGGATAAAAGTTCCCCCCCCCCCCCAATAAAAGACTGCTGTTATACAAAAAAGCCCCACTTTACCCAACTGTTTATGTCAGCTTCACATTACTAGCCTGTTTTGCTCTTTTACCAATCTTAATTGGTTGTTTCAGTCTGGTCTTAATCATCTTTTCTTCCCCGATCTTTCTAGATTCTGATTTTATATTAACATCATTGAACTGACTACCAATAGAAACAAACAGCAGCCACATGTCATAGACAATAAAAGCAACAAAAACTAGTGCAATAGTTTGAAAAAACATTACCTCCTGGGCTTCCTTCTCGAACTTGGCAATAGTTCGCTCATCGATACCACCGCACTTGTAGATCAAGTGACCAGTGGTGGTGGACTTGCCGGAGTCGACATGACCAATGACGACAATGTTGATGTGGATCTTTTCCTTGCCCATGATTACTGTTTGCGTTTTATTTAAGTTGGAGCTGCAAGTGACCCAAAGAGACAGGTTAAAGATACTAACACCTGGACATTCTTTAGTGACAAAATGTTGAAGGGTACTACCCTATAATAAATTTCTAAAATTTACGAATTGATATCAAGATACCAATTATTTCAACGCCTAGTAAAATTATTTTGAATGATATTCTAATTATTTAGAACTGATAAGATCCAGCCAATTAGGCTTTATTAAAACTAGTAAAGTCACCACGTGTAAAAAAACACTTGGGGTCCACAAAACGTAGGTCTCTATTCCCGACTATTCCACATCCCGTGTCCCCTTTTGTTTCTGACCAGTAACCTGATGTTATAAATGGAAATTTGTTCGCTGCTGCTTCTAAGATTACAGAAACAAGATTTTAAGTCTAAGCAACAGAACATAAATTTCTTACAAAAAGTTACCACGTGGCTATATGGATGTGTGAAATCTTACTTCCGGTGGAACTGATTCGTCATTGAAACACTAATTTAGTTAATTATTTACGTTTAGCTAAACTTTTCGCAACATTTTTGAAAATCAACATTAGAAAAGGAGAAAAACTATGGGTTAGTGTATAACTTAGAAACTATGGTTCCTTTTTAAGCTCTGATAAGCGACTACTAGAACATTTTTTTGATAAACCCCCCTGAGCTTAGATTTTTTAGAATTTGCAAACGACAAATCTCGAAATCTTTTTAAGTTACAAATGACATAATTTGTAGCACGTCGCTAGCTGAAGTTAACATATAATCTGAACGTAAAGATACTTCATTAAAACAGATCTAAAATTTTACAATTATACTATCAAAATCACACAAAGGTAGCGTGGTAATGGCGGCCAGATGCCGGCTTTGAATATAGTTTTAATCGGCTAGTATCTAGTGAAATATATAAAATAAACTCTTAAATAATGCACCATTAACAAGGGACGATTCTATGCTGCTAAAATATTGCGAAACTATCTGAAGTATGTTACCGATGACGAAAACAAGACGAGGATTTCGATAGGATTGCCGGGACCGGTTTGACTTACCTACTTGAACACTCAAAACCACCCGCATAAAAGACGGAATGAAGGAAATCACGTGATTTTGTAGCCTCTTGGGCGGTGCATGATGGGATATTTTATGACGTATTTCCTAAAAATAGCTAGTTTTACTTCGTATTCGCATTTATTATTTAATTTAAATTTCTTTGTTCCATGAGTACAAAGGTACACAGGTTATGAACATAGTAATAATAATTTGATTTTCAAAGTGTACATTCTGTATACTGAATTGTTTTAACAAACCTGATGATGATGATGTTTGTATGGCAGGTTTTAAATTATCACAATGTATTTATTTTATTTCCTGTCTAGTCGTCACACTTTAATATCGCAAAGAAAAAAAAACTATTATCCAAAATTCAGATCGCTCTAAATATAGTTATATTACACAACCTGATTATCACTATTATTTGAACTGTATACTGATAATATATTTATACATATCACTTCTGATAAAAAAGCTTATATTCTGTTGTAATAAAAACATAACCTATGCAATACTTGATAACAAAGAGTAATACAATTCTCTCTCTGCTTCTTCTTCTTCCTCCTCCTCCTCCTCCAGTAAACTTATTGAAGTATTTGAGGTGGGTTAAGGATTTTCTGTAAGCTCTTTTTAACGCGTTGTGTAGGTTGATCTTCATTTCTCCAACTATGTTTTTTTCTAAAGTAAAAGCCAAACATAAATATCAAAAAGAAAAAAATAAAGAAAATGTATAGCCTACATCTACAGGGGCTGATTTAGATTTATGAGTCCCAAAACTATTTAGAACCCTGAGGCCCCTACCGTTTTATATTAAACAGCTAATCTCGAAAAACTTTAGAATATATAACCTTTTTAATTATGTGGATAATAGAAATATAGGCCTACTGTAGTTACTTTTTTATTAAATGAAATCAAAATATCTTTGCAAAATCACATAAATTATATTATACAATCAACTAAAAGGCTATAAGTTTTAAATTAAAAATTTTTTTTAAAAATTACAGTACGTTAAAAGAAAACTGAACTTAAAACTTATTAATGCTTGGATTTATGTTTAATCGCCTGCTGTTTTTCGATATTCATTCGTTTCTTTTCTTTTAGCCAGAAATAATAAATAGTCCTGAGAAAGACCCATGAAGCCATGAGAAAGTTTGGTCCTAATAAGGACCGCAAGTGTTTGCAGACACTCTCCGGCAAAAGCCAAACGTTGGTTTGTACATTCCGTATATTTTAAACCTACGCCGTAGACATGTGTTTACATATTATGTTATGTTATGACAATGTACGTCATTCATTGCACATACAAATGAAGTGGTTTGGGCACCTAACAAGAATACACTGGTACTATCTGCCACAGCGAGCCACACTGAAACGTTACAACGGGTATAGAGCGAGCGGACGACCTCGGAAAAATGGAGTGATGGCATTAAGAACAGCCTTACAGAAACGAACATCAGTCTCAACAGTGCTCTTGATAAAGCTCATCAACGAATGTTATACCCCACCCCCACCCCCCTGACGACACTTCACTGAGGTACAAGGTGGAAGACAAGAAAAAGCTGAAGAACCTCATATTGAATCCCAAGAAAATGCCCTACAAATCTACTTTTTGAAGCTAATTTTAAAAGTGGTACAAACATAAAGCTTATATCAGCTTTACAGAATAAATTGCAATAAACCAACCAAGGATGTTGCGGTGATCATTCCCCATCAGCGGAATGATAACGCAAAATAAAACACAACACAAATGTTGACTACTATAAAATAACTTTACTGCCGTATGAAAATATTGTGTAAAATAAATATAGCGAAATAATAATAGCAAACGACAGAATTATATAAATTATGTGATACCTACTGGGAATTTCAGATTGTTAAAAGTTCATACCTTTGTTGTTGTTGTAGCTTTTTATATGCTTAAATAAAATGAGTAGTATGGTTAATTAATATGGAATCCTGTTATTGTTCTTCTTCTTCTTCTTCTTCTTCTTCTTCTTCTTCTTCTTCTTCTTCTTCTTCTTCTTCTTCTTCTTCTTCTTCTTCTTCTTCTTCTTCTTCTTCTTCTTCTTCTTCTTCTCTTCCACCTTGTACCTCATCGAAGTGTACAATAAGTTATTGTACTTTTTTTTAACTATATTTCAAAGTCTGCAACCGTCAGTATAATATTTCCAAAATGAAGACACTATGAAATGCCGTAAATCTGAAATAAAAGAATAATTATGGTGAACTAATATATTTTTACTTGTTCTTATACTACGCTTTACAAAGACTGTTATACCCACGTGATGTTTTATCTGGGTGTTGTTATTTCAAAACTATGTAATGACGGGACTGTCGACTACAAATTAGGCGTCCTCGCGTTCTCAGTCTTGCAATAGGCTTGGGGGGGGGGGGGGGGTGACTAAGGATGGATTTGGAAAATACGAAGAAGCAGATAATTATGTCTGTGTGGGTCAGTTATTTCAATTAAATATTAATATATTTAATATTTAAGGTGACCAAATGGTGGATAATTCCTATATTTGCTCAATTTAGTTATTATTTAGGGTTTTACCAACGTATCTTGTGCCCTGCATCAAAGGTTTGTTTGATTAATAAAACAGAAAGAGTAAGGGATAATTGAGTCGCATTTCTCACAGGGAGCAAGTATTTATGCCAGAAATCAGGTATTTCTGACAGAAACCAGATATTTATGTCAGAGAGAAGGAGGTATTTCTCTCAGAGAGGAGATATTTCTCTCAGAGAGTGGGTATATATCTCAGAGAGCAAGCATTTCTCCTAGAGAGTAAATGTTTCTGTCAGACATCAAACATTTCTTCGTTTTTCACAACTGCCGTTTCTTCGTGTACTTTACCACTAGAGTTTCCCATGATGCCACTCGTCATGGGGTCACCAATTGAAGGAGAATCCCCAATTAGTCGACTTTTACGACATGTTTTGACAATCGTCTTTGCACATTGGGCATCCCCATGCCTGCTCAGTCCTCCGATGCAGAAGCCACTCCAACGTACCTCTACTGGATGTTCACATAAAGAGTTGGTTATAGTACCTCCTGTTTTACTTCGAAGACAACATAGACGTCAAGATTCACTTCTCGGTCACGCAATCATGTTAGCGTTAGAGATTCGCCGTTATCCCCCAACCTAGTCCGTAGGCCTCTAGGTTGGCGACAGACTTTGGCTGCTCATTCACTTCTCTGGACTTTGATCTTGTTCCAGAATTTAATTTTGCGTGCACATCCGTATTACATGTCTGGCTTATTTGTATACAGATTGTTGACTCCTTGCCTCTCAGGCAGATGCCCTTCGACTTCGAAGAAAATTTCCCTCATTAGTCGACTGTTACGACATGCTTGTTAGGAAAGCAGAGGATTTGTGCTTGTCTCTCCCCCCCCCCCCCCCCCCCCCCCCCCCCCAATGGGATCTCGGAACGCATACGCGGAAAGAACAAGTAAAGATAGCTAGGGCACTAAGCAAAATATTTAATGCTGACATTAAAAATGGAAAGATCAGCGGGAAAAGGGGTAGAGACAGACAAAGAGACGTGATGCTGTATGGGCTAAAACGATGACATGGGAGTATATCATCAAGAGGGTTGTTCCAGGCAACTAGGGATCGTGATCTGTGGAGACGCATGAGCGCCTGCGTCAGCTGGCAGGGCACAGGATGATGATATGAAGTCATGATAATGTCATGCACAGATATATTTGAGAACAAATGTAAATAATGTCTTGCTAAGTGTTAAGTCAAACTGATTCTTGCGTATGTGAGTATGAATGTCTGATTTAAAAAAAAAAATAAAGCAGTCATCAGTCAGTCGTCTTCTAGACAGATGTAAATCTAAACTAATTACCGAAAGTAGCCGGAGACGGTCAGTGTTTTTCAGACATTTTATGAGACGGAGTCGGCGTCTTTTGCTTATGCGTTGAGAACGCGCTTTGCAATGCCGGGGTGCCGGGTTCGATCCCAGCTGCGGACAGTTTGTCTTGCTTTGGCTTCGACATTAGTACCGCGATCTGACCATTCAGCAGGCAATGGCAAACTACTGAACGTAAAATTTGCCTTGAAAAAACTACAACAGCCCAAAAAATGCTGGTGTTGGTTCTGCAACGTCCTGTAAAGGATACGCAACTAACTATTATGAGACGGAATGGGCTCGAGCACGCGGTGAGAACTGGCAAGATTGATCCAAAGAGAACAAGGGGGAGGCAAAGATATAAACACTTGAAGATATAAACACTTGAAAATATAAACACTTGAAGATATAAACACTTGAAGATATAAACACTTGAAGGTATAAACACTTGAAGATATAAACACTTGAAGATATAAACACTTGAAGATATAAACACTTGAAGATATAAACACTTGAAGATATAAACACTTGAAGATATAAACATTTGAAGATATAAACACTTGGCTGTATGGAAGGGTCGAGACAAGAGCACTGACTGATCTGGAATTATAGTGATCACATAAAACGGTAAAACGTGACTACTTGCGATTATCGGCACGGCGCATGCTAATGATGATGGTGGTGTGTGATGATGATGATTATGATGATGTTGATGATGCCGACATTTTGACAATAAACCTAGGATTTCATGTGCAGATTTTTTTTAAGATGAACCGTAAACAGTTTCTTGCAAAGGTGTTGCGTAAGAATGATTCAGTATATGTAAGTGGTAGTATTCCATGTGGGCCTTCGAAAACAGCGTACTTAAATTACTAAAGATAACACGTCTGTCAAGTTAGGTCACCATATATCTAAACATAACAAGGGCCGTTCCGTGCTATGATATAGAAATGGGGTCGCATCAAGCGGCATCGTAATGGGGCGGCATAGCAGCAAAAATCAAATACAGTTTGAACATTGAAGGGGCGGTATTTCAAAGGCTTGCATCAGACAGAGAAAGTCTACCGCGCGTTCATAGACGTAACTCTCTACTTCTTTATTTTACTCTGTATGAGTTTGAGGTTTGAACAACGGATCAACATCCTGGCACAATGTTAGTAACCCATAAGTGCTCCATTCTTCTTATAACTCAAGTTTGAGTCCAAAGAAGTTCAACACAGTGTACAGGCTCTGTAGCACCGGCGAGGATCCTGAAATACTTTGGGTAGATTTTGAACTCCGAATTTTGCCCGGGCAGGGCTGTTAGGCTACTCTTTTCAATTTCCAGCTGCCAAGGGATTTATATTTTACGTGCGCGACAAAACACACGGGCATCCGATCTCACAACACAGAGACCAGGGGGAATTACTAGAAGTCCATGTAGACGTGAAAAAATCCCAGCCCTTACCGGGGATTGAACCCGGAACCTCTAGCTCTCGAGGCGGACACCATGTATGAGTGCCAGTCAAGAAGAAAATACCAACATCCTGCCTGATCTGAGCATCGAGGAGAATTCATAAACAGCACCCTGTCCTGAAAGCTGATTTTCTTTTTGTTCATGTTTAATGTCATGATGACCTGTAAAAAAAAGGTGATGTCGGGTATAATCTCCGAAAAACGAAGCAGAGGCACACAACCGCGAAGGTGGATACAAGACATGGAAGATGCTTGGCTCTGATTGCACATAGGGCTGGAGAATTGGTTACAGAAAGAGAAACGTGCCGTAACGAGAGCGACATACTGGCATAACAACATCCCAGAAATCCTAGCGACATACTGGCATAACAACATCCCAGATATCCTAGCGACATACTGGCATAACAAAAACCCAGATATCCTACTCAACTGTTAAGTTGCGCGGATAAGATAAGGACTTGTCTTCAAGGGAAGGCAAAGGCGGAATTAATCGCTATCCAAAGACGTTTCTGTAAAGGCAGAACCGTTACATGGTGCTCTGATACTGAGCCCACTGCACAATATAACATCCATACATTGAGTAACACACTGATCGCAAGCTGCGTCCTTTAGTCATCCACTGGCAGCAAGCAGACAGGCATCTGTCACTTTTTTTTGGGTGTTCATTGGACGTAAACTCCGTGGCGCGGTGATCTGTGTCACAGGCGTGAGGGAAAGTCAAGTCTGATGGGACGTGTATAAGGAGATACACCGTACGTCACTCGGGCGCCAGTCCTTCACTGTTCTGGTTTTACGGAATCTCATGCAAGACTCCTGATGCACGTCCCCGTCGTGCGCCACGGATAATGCCCCAAATGAGCATTAACAGAGCTGTCGGGAGTTGGCGGCTCCCAGAGGTGTAGTGTCCTTTCTGGCTCTCACCAGCTCGCCCCCAAACGCATGGGTGAAAAGGGCTATCAAAACTAAATTGGAACATGAGTAAAGACATAGAGCTGCCCCAAAGGGGATACTCCGGGGGGAAGCACCTGTAGATAAAGGGACAAAGAGGACACCACACAAATGAGGCAACATCTCGACCCACACAAAACAATGGCCACAGTCATCCTAGAGATAGGCTTGACGTCTTCCCTCTAGGTCGAAGTACATATGCCCATGAGGCAGGGAACGGCAAACAAAAAAGGTCAGTAAAACGGATGTACACGAAAAACTCAGGTCCAGGTAAAAGCTTAATGTCCAAATGGACGAACTACCGGGACCTTCCGCCGGAATTCACAGCCGGTGAACGAAAAGAAGAAACTGTTAATTCTGATCGAAAGTTCTAGTTGTTCGCCCACTTCAAGACTTTAACCTGGTTCTAGAACGCTAGCTTTGCGTGCACATCCGTTTTGAACAGAGAGTCTGAGAAGCAGTATGTTAAATACACGCGATTGCAAAATGATCCTGAAATCCCATGCCTAATTATGGAATACTCTTCCTTACACTAGCTGCTCTTGATAGTCACACTGGCCATCTCCGCAGGCTCTGATTTCTATCCCTCGCTACAGCATACAGTTTAACACTATCGCCTGGAAAGACGGACAATGTTAAACAACAAACATGAACATTGTCTGATGTTTCCCAGTGGCTTTTTTTAACGAATCAACACACAGTACACCAGCTCAGCAACATCGACTGTCTCTTGTTTCCTTCTGTCATTAGATGTAATGTTTAATTAGGAAGACTAACACTGCCAACAAATACCTAACGAAACTGTAGATCGAAAGTGGCAAATATTGCACCTCTGCTGCAAATAATCATTCATCACATCCGTCTTCTTTATAGTAAAATAATCACCTCACTGCAGAGTCGAGATAGATAGATAGATAGATAGATAGATAGATAGATAGATAGATAGATAGATAGATAGATAGATAGATAGATAGATAGATAGAGATAGATAGATAGATAGATAGATAGATAGATTAGATAGATAGATAGATAGATAGATAGATAGATAGATAGATAGATAGATAGATAGATAGATAGATAGATAGATAGATAGATAAATAGATAGATAGATAGATAGATAGATAGATAGATAGATAGATAGATAGATAGATAGATAGATAGATAGATAGATAGATAGATAGATAGATCGCAAACTGGGCGCGCAGGCCGGTCTTACAGAGAGATAGGGAGAGAGACAAAGAGGGAGAGATAGAGGTTGAACTCCACTAGGACGGCTGTGATTAATACATCGTGATCCAAAGAGTCACTATTAGGTTGAGAATCACCTAGGTAGAAATCCAAGATTAGACTGGGCCATCAGACAATTACGAATTAACACGAGGGTCAGGACCGAGTAGGGTTGCAGCACGGCCATCTTGAGATATAAGATACAGATGGGCGTGGGTTGCAGAATCGGTATACTCTGATTTATTGATCCCTGTACATAAGGGCTATGCAACACAGGCTTTTATGAAGCTAGAATCACAGGACTATTCCCGCGTGTGTGTGCTGAGTGATTCTTTGAGCATGATCCGGCGGGTTGAGGCAGGCTGGTTACGCAGACAGAGGTTTGAGAAATTGCAAAACTCTCCTGTGTGTGCAGCTCCTTCATATTCGTCCTAGGGCATGCAGGCGTTGTTGGTAATGAAAGAGCTGACAGACTGTGCTGCCTTAATTGAAGATGGCCGGCCTATGGACCACGCAGACATTGTCATTGCCCGTAGAGAGATAGGACGTTCTGGGGATTTTGGAAGCAACGTGTCCACATCACTGCTAAGAATACGCGAATTGGGAATAAAGATCCGGACGAACACGAAGTCTTGTTAACTAACATAGGACTGGCACTATTAACCGTGCGACGCTGATGAATATGTTGAGAGGGGAATCTGAGCTCCTATGGATGTGTCCGGAGTGCTGTGAAGATAATCTAACTCACAACTCAGGGGCTATGCAGTCTGCATTTGTTATTTAAAATTCGAAACAAAAATTTCAGTTACAGACAGACATAGGCAAAAACTAATGTACATATTATTAGTATTACAGACTGCTATATAATGGAAGAGGAGCTGCAGGAGTTTCAAATTCAATCAGTACACTACTGACTGTCAGAAGCAAGATATACTGACAAACTAGAATAAACTACGGGCCACTGGCGAAGACATCATGCATGATCAAGCATCCGCCGCCTACTTTGGGACACATGTCGGTATGCGCATAGCATATGACAGCTTAAGAGGAAGATGGATAATATGATGGTGGTTCATAGTTTGAGAACGAGAAAGATCCGATATGATGATATAATAATACACTCATTTTCATAACATTGTTGTTGATTTTTGATATTTGGTAAATTGGGCCCAGCAACACACAAGTGGTCCAGTTGGGGTTGCTACTCACATCACACTCTTGGTGTCCATGGATACCCAGTGTGTCTTAAATGAGGACCAGTTAACTATATAGCTATTTTAGTGAGCTTTCAACTCTCCTCCGAACTTCGTCCTCATATTATGGTGGCCAAACAAATACCATAACAGGGCCTCATTTGTGTAAAATGCGGACTTGCTCCGACGAACACATCGTGGCATAACTAGGATTACTGTCCGTTGACAATTTTGAGAAATGCAACAATACACATGATAATAGCGACATGGCGGGGAGACCACGGGCTCCGTCAGGTTAGCGATAGTGTTCTTCCGATTAAAGTCACCGCCAAGCCTATATTCAGAGTGCATCTGCCTGAGAGCCAAGAAATCAACAGTCTGCATACTGATAAACCAGATCTGTAAAATGGATGTGCACACAACACTCAGGTAATGGAGCAAGAATCCAGAAGTGGACGAACAACCAGAACTATCTACGGGAGTTAACAGCTCTGGTGAACATGAAGAGGAAGAAGAAGTTCTAGTTATAAACTGTTTGTTGTTGCTACACAGGTCTCCAGAACTGTCTGTGCGTAACAGGTTTCCTCACCATCTGAGATAATTTACAGTGTAAATAAGAGACATGTATGGATACACAATGCTATTTTAAGACAAAAGAAGGTGGGCACATTCTGAGGAGAAAAGAGAATCACAAACCAGGCACTAAAATCGGAAACGTTTGGATTGAGGAAAAGAGGATGTCTTAAAAAAAACACAAACCTTGATTAGAGAGGTCACATATGCTTGAATGGATTTCTTCCATGATATTCTTCTTCTTCTTCTTCTTCTTCTTTCTATAGCTTGAAATAGATTATCTATATCTGCAGTGTTGTCTCTAGTATGAACTTCACTGTCTTTTGTAATTCACTCAGCGACCCGTAAAGTTTGAATTGCACCGATGTTTCTCTTGGCCAAAAGTTTTGCCTTGATATGTTGTATGTGGGAAAGTCCTGGAGGACATGATCTGTTGTCTCAGGTGCCAATCCACATGTGCACGTGGCTGATTCGCCAATTTTAAATTTTGTGTACATGAGGCTGCGAAGTCGATTGTGTCCTGTTCTAAGGCGTAGAATAATAACTTGCTCTGGTCTATCCATAAAATGGTAGTCTTGTGCCAGTTTCGTGGCTTCGCCCTTTAGTTCACAAGTGACATTTTTACAGAGATCCCTGGGGACTGTCGCCGGAGCCACAGAGATCGTGCCCTGTGCGATGCTCTCGGCAGGTGATTAGCTGCTCTTTGGAGACAGACCGAGCCATATGGGATCAAATCTGGAGCAATGAAGTTGATCCCTTTAACTTTAAAAATTCTCCATGTAGGTTATGGGGAAAACAAGAATAGACCCACTGCCTCCCCAAAAGCATGTCGTAAGAGTCGACTAATTGAAAGCTTCCTTCGAAGTTGGAGTACATCTGCCTTGTAGGCAAGGAACTAACATGCGGCATAAAATTGAATCAGACCAGTGAAACGGTTGTGCACACAACACTCAGGTTCTGGAACAGGTTCAGAGTCCAGAAGTGGACGACCAACCAGAACTTTCCGCCAGAGTTTACAGCCCGTGAACGCGGAGAAGAAGAACTTTAACAACCTTCATTGCGGTGATGCCACAGACATTTTGTTTTTGGTGACTGTGTTTGCATTGCTGAATACATTATTTTCATGTTTCCAGCTGAGCCAACTGTCAGCGACACTTCTTCAGCCAACCACAAATTGCGTCAGCACTGTCCAGAGAAGGAACAAATGCTTCGATCATTATTTCCTCAACCGTTGGATGGCCCGAGACTACAAGCGACGGAAGTTGGTGAATGAACACTATCCACTTCGCCAACGCTATGTTGCCATCAAGAGGTGTACAATTTTACCCAAGGAGCTACAGGTAAATGGCATGTCTGTGTGAAATATCTTCTTATTCAGCATTCCGAGCCCTTGAAGTTCATTACTGCAGACATCACCCGCCTCCATTCCTGTCTCTAGTTGGCCTTCTCTTTCCAGTTTGTGACACCAAGTGTTTGCAGGTCTGATTGGACATTATCTCTCCATTGTCTTCTTGGTCTGCCTCATGGTCTACGACCATTCATCTCTCTTGTGTATACAGTTTTCACTTCTCTGTCATCTGACATTCTTTTAATATGCCCCAACCATTTCAGTCTATTAGCTCTCATGATGCCAGTGATCAATGGTGATTTAAACAGATTATGAATTTCGTTGTTGCTTCTGTAAAACATGGTAAAATAAATTTGTACATTTCTAGACATTAACTTGACATACGGTGTACAACCAACACAAGAGGTTTGAGGTTTTGAACAATGTTTCAACATCATGGAACACGGCTAGTAACCCATAAGTGCTGAGTTTCTCTTCTAACTTAAGCCTGAGTCCGAAGAAGCTCGGCACAGTGCACAGGCTCTGTAGCACCGGTGAGGATCCTGAAATACTTTGGGAAGATTTGTAACTCCAAATTTTGCCCAGGCAGCGTCGTTAGGCTAGAGATAAGAGCACATTGGAGATCCACTGCAGCCAATGTTGTGGAGATGGCACCTGATGGATGATGATGACAGTAACTATTTGCCACAAATATGCTTCCTAATTCAGTCCTGGGGGGGAGGGGGGACGAATAGACCCGCTTGTTTCCCAACCCACCCAACAGGCATGTTGTAATTAGAGACATTTTCATGCGAAGTTCGGAGTGCATTTGCTTGAGAGGCGAGGAACCAACAGTCTGCCTACACCTAATCCAGGTGTGTAAAATGAATGTGCACGCAGGACTCAAGTTCTGGAGCAAGGTCAAAGATCAGAAGTGGATGAACAGTCTGAATCTTTGCCAGAGTTTACAGCCAGTGAATGCTAAAGAGAAGAAATTATGTGATGTCTTCACAGTGAAGGTTGCTTACTCCTTGGACGTCTGAGTACATGTGTGTGAGAGGCATGGAACCAGCAGTCTGCACACAAATAACAGATAAGGCAAATCTGTAAAACAGATGTATGTGCAACACCCAAGTTCTGTAACAAGACTAAAGTCCAGAAGTAGATGAACATCCAGGATTTTCTGTCGAAGTTTACAGCCTGTGAATGGAAAGGAGAAGGTCAGATGCAGTGCACTACTGCTACGTGGTGAGACCCGAATATTATTTGGTGAGACCCGAATATTACTTGGTGAGACCCGAATATTACTTGGTGAGACCCGAATATTACTTGGTGAGGCCCGAATATTACTTGGTGAGGCCCGAATATTACGAGGTGAGATGCAAATATTTTGTTTTACCCACAACAGGGTCCAAGGACGTTATGTTTTTTTGACACTTTATGTGCAGGTTTTTCTCCAGGTTTGTGTTAATAGTGTTTGGGAGTTTTCTTTTTGTCCTTCTCATTTTAATGACATATTTGTTGGGTAGGGGGCATCAGGGTCTTGCCATGTATTCAGTTTTTCAGGTGGGTGCCACCTGAATAAGGTTGAAAACCACTGCTCTACATAATTTCTGTACACAATTTTCTGTATAGCATAATCCAAATCAACTGAATTATTATTTAAAAAAAAAACAACAACATAACTTTGTCCATTCCGTTCAACAGGATGTAGCATCACAAGAACTGTGTGAGTTTCCACGAGACTCAAACTTCACCCGCTTGAAACCTCGCTGTATCCTCACCTCGCGATCTCGCTGGGTCCTCCATCGGTACAGACTCAGCAGAATACAGTGGCGCCTCCTGGCCGATTATAACAAAATGAGCGGAGTCCTGAGAGCCACATGGTAGCTGGAATATGTGGCCTGCTTGTACGGCTGAATGTTTGTCTGTAGTGGTACATTTGAAAAGAGAATCATTATATTTGCTTGAGTACTGATTCAAGTTAACAGTACACAGATTTAATTATATTTGCTTGAGTACTGATTAACGTTAACAGTATACACATTATATTTACTGGAGTACTGATTAAAGTTAACAGTACCTCGGCTAACATTTCGTTATGTTTTTCTTCAGTTAGTATTATGTAAAGCTTTGCTGGATATGCATTATGCTTGTAAATTTTCCTAAATAGAATTTCATCATCATCATTTGTCCAGCCAATTGGCGTAGGCGTCTCCACAGATCACAATCCCTGGTTACCTGGAACAGCTCTCTTGATGATATCCCTCCATGCCATCGTTTCAGCCCATCCTGCATCATCTCTCTTGGTCTGCCTCTACCCCCTTTTACCACCGATCTTTCAGTTGTCACGATGTTCTCCAAATTCTCTTTTCTCATTATGTGGCCAAAGAACAATGTTTGTCTCTTTCTTATTCTTGTATATTGAGATCTACTTTCATTAGCTTCTTTTTTAAGCAATCATTGTTAGTTACTCTGGCCGTTCCAAGGTAAATAGAATTTGCTTTGTAAATTTGTTGTCTTTCAGTTTCCCCTTGCGGGCTGAGGGGCTCAATTTTGGAGAATACTGAATAGACCTACAGTCCCATCAGCAAGCATCTTGTAGGAAGCAACAGTTTAATGATGCTCCCTTCAAAGTCGGAGTGCATCTGCCGGAGAGGCAAGACACATCTGTTTTACAGATCTGGCTTATTTGTATGCAGACTGTTGGTTCCTCATCTCCCAGGCAGAGGTACTCGTACTTTGAAAGAAAAGGAAATGCTCCTAATTAGGCGCCTTGCTTGGGGGGGGGGGGGGGGGGGGGAAGAGGGGGGTTTTTTTTTTTTTCTTTCAAAATAGGGGCCATCAAACCCACATGGGAAGGTCAATTTAAATAAGCTGTCTTGATGGAAATGGGACCTGTGACTACAGGACCAAAAAAGGAGACAGAAGGCGAAGGAGACACAAACTAAAGGTAATCATAAATCCTGATAAGAAATATCATCACGAACCAGCCCCAGGATTTGTTGGCTTGTGTGGTTTTACTAAGTCATTTATCTTCTGTACTTTGCCATTGTCCCCATGTGGGTTCTGGGGCCCCATTGTGGCGGGGGGGGGGGGGGGGGGGGGGATCAATGCCCCTTAAGCATGTTGTAAAAGGCGACTAAGGGTTCATTGAAACTGGACTACAGGGCCAAAAAGGTGCAGATATCGCCGCCTGTCTGTAAACCACAAGAGTGTGCGACGTCCTTTTCCTTTTAACCCTTTCACCCTGTGAATGCTAAAAAAAAGGGGATGGTGGGGTTGGGTGTGGGGCCATGAGCCTGTAGAGATTCCCAGCAAAAATCCTTAAAAGCAACAGTTTTACACATGTCACTGATAAAATGAAAAAAAAAATGTGTCTACATGTTTAAATCCTTTCCCCTCATGAAATGTATAAAGATATGTAAAAGGGGTGTCAACAAGCTGGGTGTTGTAAGCCCTTTGGAAGCGAGTGAACAGTGCAGAGGAACAGAAAGATCATTACGGTCTGAGGAGAATGCCACTGCGAGGAGTTACAAGGGGATCTGGCCGACGCTCGGATAAACAATCAGACAGATTCTGGTACCACTGAAATTTTAACTCTTTCCTTGCTGCTGAAGATGGGGGATGGAGCGCTTAAGGGGATGTCCCGAGTGCTGTAATGTCGATTCTTAATTCAGCATTTAAAGGGGGGGATCAATGAAAATGACCACAGGGAAGTATTTAATGAAATACATACCTGCAACCTTAACATGATTTAGGTGACCCATCCCGTGACCTGCCTGTGACCTGAATCCTAAGGCTTAAAGGGAAAATCTTTAAAAAAAAGTCAACAGTGTCATAAGGAAAAAGCCATCGGTGGCATAAGGAAACCCCCCTAATCAATGGCATTCAAATCAGGTTTCTGAGAACAAATCACTAAAGAAATAGCTGTTTATGTGGCTGTGTCGCAAGCGGAAGTGACTAGATTTAGCCTTCTGGGACAATATAATTAAGGACGAATGCAGAAGAAAAGGTGTGGTTTTACTAAGTGATTTTGTGTTTAGTAGTTTTCTGTTGCTGTCAAAGCCAACACATTGAGCTTTCTGGCCAAACTGCAGCTGAGTCAACCCCAGTAGGTCAGAATAATGAAACTTATGTTTATAACCCTAAACTTAGAGGCCAGAACAAAGGTGACAAAGAAGAAAAAAAAGACAAATACAAAAGAAATCAATACTTCATCAGTAGTTTTAATCACTTGTCATCCTATCTCCAAGTCATCTGTTACAAAAATTAACAACAAGATGTTAAAACAACACAGAAATTTGATATTAGCAAAAGTCATCAATCATAAACAAACAAGCACACACACACTCAGATACCCAACATTATCATGGATGCTACAATATAAAAAAGTTGAAATAGTCCAAACTCAAAAAGCAACAGTACAAAATATGCAAATCTGTTTAAAAAAATGAAAAATATAAACTTGAAAATGTAAGCGCGTAACAAGATTGTTTTAGGAAAGTTACAAGGATGTTGTACATTATGTGCATGTATGAGTATACACGTAACATTGTGTGTACATGCAACAGTGTTTTGTGAAACTGGGCAAAGGAATTAACATTTAAAGAGAATTAACGTATAAATAAAGAAATATGTTCAGGATGTACATTGAAGGGGGACTGTAATAACACCAAAACTAAAGTTAAGATAGTACCCAAAAATTATATATATATATTCCCCGTGAGGGTTCCGGGGCCCCATGTTGGGGGTGGGGGGACAGAACCACTGCCTACCCAGCAAGCATGTAGTAAAAGTTTACTAACTTGGGGAAAAGGTGGTGGGGGGCTTCTTTCAAAGTCAGAGTGCATCTACCTGGGAGGCAAGGAACTAGCAGTCTGCACAAAAATAAGTCAGATCTTTAAAACAGATATGCATGCAACAGACAGGATCTGGAACAAGACTAACGTCCGCAGGTGGATGAACAATCAGAACTTTCTGCTGCAGTTTGCAGCCAGTGAACATGAAGAAGAAGATATATATGTATATAGATATACATACACACACCCCCCGTGTGGGTTCCGGGGCCCCATTGTGTGGAAAACAAGAATAGACCCACTGCCTCCCCAAAAGCATGTCGTAAGAGTCGAATAATTGGGGGGCTTCCTTCGTAGTCGGAGTGCATCTGCCGGAGAGGCAAGGAACCAACAGTCTGTATTCAAGAGAATGAGATCTGTAAAACTGATGCACGAGCAACACTCAGGTTCTGGAGCAGGACTGCAGTTCAGTAATGGACGAGCAACCAGAACTTTCCGCCAGAGTGTACAGCTGGTGAACGCAAAGAAGAAGAAGACATACACACACATATAGGACCCTTGTTGCCAGTAGTGCATTGGCACATGATGCCAAACTCATATTTGTTTATAGACCAAACAGTACTTAGTGGTTGATCTTCCAGGACACTAATTGGGTGGTACCCATCTTAGGCTGAGTTGATCTGTGAGATAAGCTCAGTTTAAAAGAAAAATCTACCTCAATGCAGGTTTGAACCCATGACCTTTGGGTTGGTAGGCGATCTAGCTGCTATGCTACTGCGCCTCTCATATATATATATATATATATATATTTATAGAATCACTTGTGTATGCGCACATACACACATGCATACATATGCAACATACTTCTTTGCGTTCACCTGCTGTAAACTCCAGCAGAAAGTTCTGTTTGTTTGCCTATTTCTGGACTTTATCTTGTTGCAGAGTTTTCCATGTACATCCATTTTAAAGATTGTATGCCGACTCTTGGTTCCTTGCCAATCAGGCAGATGCACTCCAACTTTAAAAGAGATACCCCTATTTAGTTGCCTTTTAGGACATGCTTGTAAGGGAGGTAGTGGGTATATTCTTTGCCCCCCAAATTAAGGGGACCAAGAAACACTCATGAAGAGAGTTTGTTGATGTGAAAAGTGACAACATAATATACCCGGAATCCTCAGAGACACAATGCTTATATGTGTCCTATCTTCACTTATCCGTACACACACGCCTATATGTGGCATAAAGATAACACGCATCCTAACTTCACATATACACATAAATATGTTACATATAATGCTTAAATCAGATGTGCTAGACTGAAAGGCGTAGATATTGCAACCTAGCTGTAAACCACAACACAAAGTACCAACCGTCTTGTTAAGAGCGGAAACAGAATATTCCCCACTGACCCCCACTGTCAGTGATGGACACATGTACCATTTTGATTTCTCCTTGACCTCACAACAATCAGTGACCCCAGCAACAGCTACAAATCAACCACATACATGCAGCATAACACATTTCAGCTTTCCTCCAGCATTCACTCTGCACAGATGTCACCTTTCCCTCCAGCACTCATTTCACACAAGTGCAGAGATTTCACATTTCCTCCAGCACTCACTTCACATATTTACCTTTCCTTCAGCACATCACATATTTACCTTTCCTTCAGCACTTCACATTTTGCCTTCAGATTTCACATTTTACCCTCCTTCAGCACTTCACATATGTCACAGACATGTGCAGAGATATTCACATTTTTCATCTTTTCTCTAGCACTCAGCACTCCAGCACTCACTTCACATGTGTGAACAGATTTCACTATTCCTTCAGCACTTCACATATGTGCCCATATTTCACCTTTCCTCCAGTACCCACTTCGAAAATGATTCATTCTAACCCTTTCCCAACATTTGTCATTGTCATTCCTGTGTTTTGTCCCAGATATTCTACTGACGGGAGAAATGTTATTTATCGGAGATACATCAGTTAAGTGATTTTGTGTATCCTTGTTCGAATACGCAGTGTTGTACTTTTATGAATGTACTGATGAAGGCTCTCTGGCTGCATGTTTATCTGTCATCTGTGATT